CAAAAACTGAAACTACTCAAACAAATATCTTTGCAGCACAAACAGAGGAAAAATGGATGAGACTATTTTGCAGACATTTTGCTTTGGGTGGGGGCCATGTTCACACAGGTAAAGTTGACTGCTGTATTTTTGTCAACTCGTTCAACTTTTGATTGATTTTTCTTTGATTTCTATCAGGTCATTTCTGATGTCATCCATTATTTTTTGATAAAATTCAGCAATGCGGTCTTTGAGATCAGAGTGTTTTTTTTTCAAAATTGCCATTCACTGTAGTTTCTTATGTTTGCCCCCCTCTGCCATATTGTTTATAGTGATTTTGTCATCTTTTTTTATTAAGCTAAAGCAAAAAGACAGATTAGCAGAATTCATGCTCTCAGTAGCAATAGAGCAAAAGAAAGAACAAATAAAATTAACCTAAGCAAAGAGATGGAAGAGAAAACACAAGTGGTACATATACATGTATGGATATGGTACTTTGAAGTGGGTACAGGTAAGTCAAGAGACAATAATAATAATAATAATAATAATAATAATAATAATAATATAGGGCAGTGTTTTGTTTTTCCACAAGATGTCGCTATGACACTTCTATTATGGCATTTAGAAGTTACTAACGACGTTTGAGACTTGTGACATACCATAGTGCTGATATATGGTTTTGTGCGCCATATACTCCTCATTTGTGTTATCAACAATGAGGTATATTTGTTGTTCAAAGTTCTGTTTACTGAGATATTCTGTCCTAAACTGCTAAAGACCCAAATGTAGAATAATATGACAAATTTAAATGTTGTTCTTGTTCTTTTTTTTTTTTTTTTTTGTAAAGTGATTCAAGAGGAGTATGATTCATGCAAAGCCATTGTGTTATAATATAAGTAACAGCTAATTAATAAAATTGAATGTTTTTGAGATCTCATTTATTGTGTTGAAACCTAAATGAGTTTGTGTTATCAACACAGATAGATGCCCTGCTGACAAATAATGGTGGAGTCATGATCACAAACTTCTCTCTGCCTGCATCTCCTGCTTACCACCTCACAAACACATACAATACAATGTGGCAGCGAGCATGCAGAGAGTGATTGGGGTACAACAATAATAATGTAGGAGAGAGCAGGAGTAATATACTACTGCTAACAATTATAAAAATTCTAATATTAGTAATGGTAATAATACTTAGTGGGTTACGAAATGGAATTATATATCCCTCCAGATTCCACCATTTTTACATACAGACATCTCCAACATCTTTCTGCACAGATAACCAACAAGAAACAGATTCATCACTTCTATCCCTCCCCTCGTCAGGTCATACTTGTGCACTAGTGTCATAGTGTCATCACCTCACCACTCACCTGTATTTCCCCACTGGAATTCTGGCCATAGTAGCAGGCACCTCCAGACCATACTGCAGTCTGGATGTGACCCACTAGACTAGGCAATCCAATGGATTGCTTTATTTAGGGCCTGGAAGTGTTACACACCAGCTAGCTTAACAGTTAGAGATCCTGCACTAGCCTAGATCACCTACTTGTTGCATTTGACTGAGCAGGAGAGGGGAGTTCAGTCGGTGGTAGAAAAATAAAAATAAAATAAATTCAAATAAATAAAAAAAATCATTTGTCCACTAGGGGCAGTTCAAAGCAAGTGGAGCAGCACCAAAAGTAAAATTGTTACAATTTAAGTGTGTTACTTTTGGAACTTAAAAGCAAAATAGCATTAGGCACAAAAGTAGCTCTCTTCTTTGAGTACAACAAAGCCGTCAGGGAGCCACTCAAATGCTTAATGGAAAATATGTGAGTGCTTCTAAATAATCTTGCTTGCTAACCTGAGAGTGTTGATCATGAAAGAGTTTTAATTAGGCTATACAATAATAGTAAACACTGTAACAGCACTTTGTAGCTGGTTTATATTCTGTAAAATTATAGAATGAAACCAACAAGAAAATGTGAAATGTGGGAAATGTGACAATACTCATGTGACAACAGAATGAACTGAGAACAGAACTGAGTTTCCTAAGGAGATACTGCAGCAGCTGGCACCTCAAAGGCCCCATTTACACTAATACATTTTAGTTTTAAAACAGCGTTTTAGAATGAAATCGATCCACACTGGCGTTTTACCCAGCATTTCTGAACAACTCTCCGTTCACACTATATTGCTGAAAACGCACATCACGTGACCCCACACTGCAGCGATGAGAGCTGTGCACTTCGGACTGCTCATCTAGGATCTACTGCTGGATCTAATCTCACTATATTTGTTAAATGTGATATTTAATTCATCATGTTGTTTTTATCTAACAACATATTCGCTGACTTTGTTCTTTTGAATCTAATATTGTTCTCAGGTAACATGTTTTGGCTGAGCTTAAAGATAAGTATAATTAATGTAACCATGTACACTGATTCTGCACATTTGACTGATTGCTTGCATTTATTTCCTAAAATGAATAAACTTATTGTACGTTATACTTTTATAATGGCCATTATTGATTATTAAAACTAATATTCAGCAAAAGAAAGGGTATATTTAATATTTTTTATGAAAATGAAAGGAGGCAATTTTGTTATCCTTCATTTTGTTAGAAATATGCATGCAGTAAAGATGACAATGATATAAATGTGTAGATACAAGATGCCTCAACATTTTTGGTGTCTGTTAAGTTGCTAACATCAAAATAAAAATAGGCAGTTCCTTACATCATGTTTTAATTTAATTGTTAAGAAAGTGAAACAATGTATCCAGGATGATGTCAATGAGGTTATAAGGTACACTGTTCCCTTTAAAGATTTACCCGATGTGTCCTCGGGAGTTTTTTTTCCATATCAAACTTAAGAAGTCTGAAATTACAAGGAGAGGAAGACTGAACTTCGTGTAGACTACTTAATATTGAGGAAAAAGCCAATCACATAGGCTTATGTTTGCAGCCCTTTTTCAGATGTCTCAGTTTTCCCCCCATCCACACTAACACGGAGCAGCAGCTTTTTCCAAATGAAAACGGCCTCTTCAGCGTTTTTAAAACGCTCCGTTTTCACTCTCGAAAACTCCGGCATAGTGTGGACGGAAGGCGTAAGCGTAGCAAAACTTATGCATTTTAAAACTAATACGTTTTAGTGTAAACAGGGCCAAAGATAGTCCCCAAATATGTATACTCCTCAATTAGCTCCACAGGGGTCCCACTGTGTGTAGGTGGTAACTGCTGTAGCCAGGTCCCTCCGCTTACTAAAAAAAGTCACCACCATCTCTTTGATTTTAACTATGTCCAATACAAGCTGTCAGCAAACACACCATGCCACAAACTCCTGTAAATTTGGTCCATGACTTTTAAGGTGCACTCATTTTAGGTACAGTTACCTTGAACCGTGCCAAAGCATGATTGTCCTCCATTCCCTCTCCCGATCTGCCTGGACTCACATTGCATTTTTAACGTACCGGACCTGAGCACGCTTTTATCATCGATGATGCGACTGTTTAGTTTAATAGGAAAAGAAGTGCTCTCACTCAACACAGTGGAGACTGCTTTAGTTTTTGTATCATTATATAATTTTGTATCATGTTTAGTCATTTGGCATGCAGTGACACACAGTCCAACCCGAACAGATCCACCACTTTTGACGCTCATAAATTATCATAAAATTCCTCGTACTGCAGGAATTATAAGGTATGCTAAAGGTGCAGCTGACATGCAGTGAGGGGTTTGCGTCTTTAATAAACTATGACTGTCTTCATTAAACAGTAAGAATAATTAATAAATCCATATGAAACAGTCCCCTAAAAGTGATGTCGCGTCTTCAGTTTCGAGCTCAGGCATGCTTTGCACTCACACTACAGTCTACAAGTCTACAGTATCCACATAAATGGCTGGTTGTGTAAATGAAAATGAGAGGATAGTTTAGTGGCCAAAACATGAGGCTGGTATTCAATTCTGAAGAAACGTGTTCAAATAGATGTCTGACTAAAGTGCCAGAGTGCTCCAAGTGTTTGTGAATACTGTTTATAATAAATTTTTTTGCATCATCATCACCTCCACCTGCACGATTAGCAAACTGAAGTGGATCCATCAAAGAGTCAGTTGCTTTGATAATATGATGTTTAACAATCTTTTTCAATGTTTTCATCACTAAGAACAGTCACAGGCTGTAAATCAACCAGTTTTTTGATCTTACTTTTTTAGGCATCTGAATAAATGTTGAATGTTTTCATAGTTAGGGCATTGTGCTGCTCTGGAACAAAATTTAAAAACATCCCAAGCGGCTCAGCACAATATCTCAACACGACCGCTAATATTGTCTGGGCCGGGTGAACTCCTCTTTCTGGTTCTCCTGAAGGCTCCCACTATCCTGTAAGCTAAAAGTAAATGCAGAGTTATCAGTCTTGAATCTGGATCTTATCAAGTTGAGAGGAATCATCTGACTTGAATCTGAACTGAAGTAAAAGGAATTAAGATCATCAGAAAGAGAAGAACTTCTACCCTCCACCTGGATGGTTATAGGGTAGTGTAGCGAGTACACCGGTGCCACGTCGCCATGGTCAAGGATTCACCCCAGCTGGATCCACATCAGCACCGGATCGTTCACAGCTGGACGTCATCAAGCGGAGAGGCATATAAGCCAAGCCCACGCAAGAGGAAGATGAGCTTCATTCAACTAATGACTCCCTGCGCTAATGCTTGTCTCTCTGTCTCTCCTCCACAGCAGACTCCAGCTCGTGACGATCCTACACCCGACTACTCACTGTCCTTCACCTACTTCCCGGAGCACCAGAGCACCTCACCTCGAAGAAGAGCACCGTTTGCACTTATTTAAAGAGTGCTATTACGGGATCATTGTTTGCTGATTGTTGCCTGAGTGTCAGCATGGGAAATTAAGGATCTTAGAGGGATGCACGGTTGCCGTTTACTTTAGACTTACAATAATATTTTTGTTATTGAACCTTTGTTGTTGACTTTTGTTGTATGCGAATTTGGGTTGTTTATGATTTTGCTAGGTTGACAACAATTTGTATTTTTCCTTTGTTAAACTTTTCTTTCTTTTGTAGGTTCTGTTTTGGATTTGCTTTACCATCAGTGGCCACTGGGTTCCCTGCACTGTGTGGATGGCGGTGGAGAAAAGGTGGTTGGGATTGTGTGGTGATTTAGTCACTGTTGATTTTTGTGTTTTTTAGGTTGCAGTGTGATTGCTGTGAGCTGAGTGTGGTGAAAACACTGCTGCTTGGGTACCTCATCTGTCCTCACTTTCTGGGTAACCGGTGGCCATTAGTGGTTTGTTTTTTTCTTTTCTTTTATTTAGTTTATTTACTTTTTTTCCTCCTTATTTGCAATAAAGATGGAGACAATTTGTATATTACAACTTGTGGAATAAAATATAATTGTCCTCCTAATTGTAAGTCACTTCATTTACCCTCTGCTAAATCATTAACACTGACAAAAGTCATCTGGTCACAATTGGCGTAGTCGGCAGGACATTTAAAATTGATTTAATTTAGCAGAGGCTGTTGTGAAGTGTCTTACTCTATTGATTGTGCAACTTTAAATGTTTTTGCATAAGTTCAGTGTAAGTAAACGGTGACTGTGCATAAAGGATTTCGCAGACTCTGCTTTGTGGACCCTGGATGTCATTGTGCTGATTGAACTGTCTTCCAGAATTCACCAACAGATATGGAGCAAGAACTAATGGACTTGAGGGAGCGGGTTCAAAGCTTACAAGCACAGAATGAGGAGTTGATGAGACTGCGTTCCCCATCTAGCAGTGATGCCCCTAGCCAACCTCACCCTTCTGTTTCTAATGACCCATCTTCAGTGTCTTTTAACAGAATGCTTTATGTGCCCCGAGAGAGGAAGTGCCCACGTTTTTATGGGAAGTTGGACTCTAACTTGAGTATTGAGGACTGGACTGACGAGTCTAAGGTGTGTATTGAGGGTAGAGGTTGGGCTGATAAAGAAAAGGTGGTCTTTCTGTTGGATCATCTTGGGGAAGAAACTAGAATGGAGGTAAAACTTCATCCACCTGTTACTAGACAAACTCCAGAGTCTGTTTTTGAAGTTTTAAAAGATTTGTATGGGGGAAAACAGACATTTGTACAATTACAGCAGAGGTTTTATGAGCGAAAACAGAAAGAAGGTGAATCAATGACTGAATTTTCTCATGCTTTAATGTCATTGATGGACTTGATTCTTAATAGTAATCCAGGTAGTGTTCCCAATTCCAATAGAGTGCTTCGCGATCAGTTTGTTGAATATGTCCAAGATGTAACGCTAAAACGTGAGTTGAAATGACTTGTGAGGGAGAAGCCTTCTCTTACGTTGCTCGAGGTTCGACGTGAGGCTCTTAGATGGGTAGAATAGGGGAGCAGGGAAGCAACTCTTTCATATTCCCAGCCATGGTGTAATGCCACTCAAACCAGGGTAGTTGACCAGGAACCTAAGGTTAGATTCCAGGAATCAACAGAGTTAAAAGAAATGAAAGAAATGTTGAGACAGCAACAAGCACAATTAAATGATCTTACCCAGCGTCTTGATAGACTTATGCCTACAAAGAATGATCCCCCTGCTGTTGCTTTACCAAGGCAAAATACATCGCGGTGATGCCTACGTTGTAACAAAATGGGGCAGATTTTGTCGTTCACCTTGGCCTACAGAGTCAAACTCCGGATCACCTCAGGCAAATGTAAATGAGATTTCAGTTGGGGAATCCGATACTGTAGCCCCTACTGCAATTTTAAGCCAGATTGTTGAAGGGACTAGGGAAGCTTCAAAGTCACCTGTTTGCCCTACTATTTTACAGCGACTCGTGGGCAAATGCCCTGTTGTAAATGCACAGATTGGGATGGGAGTAGATATTTCTTGTTTGTTGGATACAGGATCCATGGTAAACACGATAACAGAGTCATTTTTTGAGAAACATTTCCATCAATTAGGGGTGAATGGTCTTAAGAAATGTAACTGGCTTCAATTAAAAGCAGCTAATGGCCTTGAGATCCCCTATGTGGGTTATTTTGAAACCGACATGAAAGTGTTGGGACAAACCCTTCGAGGACAGGGCATTTTGGTTGTGAAAGATCCAGTTGATGTTTTTTTTCATCAAAAGAAAGAATTTACTCCTGGCCTCTTGGGCATGAACATTATAGGACAATGTTATAATGATTTGTTTGAAAAACATGGCCCAGCACTATTTTCAGTTCCACAGGTTAGGCAGGCAGAACAAGGTTGGAAAGACGCCCTATCCCAGTGTCACGGGGTGGAGGATGCCCCTGTTCCTGGCTTTGTTGGGTATGCCAGAGTGCAGTCCTGCCAACCTGTTCAGATTCCAGCTGGAACTATGAGGTTAGTGCCTGCTTTGTGCCCAAAGAATATACACAGTGGGACAGTAGTGGTTTTAGAACCCCAAAACCCAGAGAACGGGGGGTTACCTGCTGGAGTGCTAATCTCATCTGCTATGCTGCAGTGTGTACAAGGTATAGTTCATGTACCTATAGTTAATGTCGGCACAGAACCTTTATATTTGCCCCCCAGAATTAGATTGGGTAGTTTGCTTAATGTTGAAATCATAAGTTCATCTCAGGGCATTTACTTTCAGGGTGATAGGTCACAGGACCCTAATGTAGTGGTTGTTCAGTGCCATGCTGTTAAATCGGAGTCAAGCATTGATATGCAAGGCGTAGAACTGTCTGGGCTTTCAGAGATTGAGGAGGAGGAAGTTAAGAGATTGTTAATGAAATATTCAGACGTCTTTTCAAAACATGATGGCGATTTGGGATGTACAAATTTAATAGACCATCAAATCCCCTTAGTAGATGATACACCAGTACGCCAACGCTATCGTAGAATTCCCCCCAGTCAGTTTGAAGATGTGAAGGCTCACATTAGACAGTTGTTGGACAGCCACATTATTAGGGGGAGCAGTAGCCCATATGCCTCCCCAATTGTATTGGTGAAAAAGAAAGATGGTTCTTTGAGGATGTGTATTGACTACCGCCAGCTGAATGGCAGAACCCGTAAGGATGCCTACCCTTTGCCAAGGATAGAAGAGTCGCTGGATGCATTGACTGGAGCAAAGTGGTTTTCAACTTTGGATCTGGCAAGTGGATATAATCAGGTACCGGTAGCGGAATCTGATCGATTCAAGACTGCTTTTTGTACCCCATTTGGGCTGTTTGAATTTAACAGGATGCCATTTGGACTGTGCAATGCCCCAAGCACTTTTCAAAGATTAATGGAGAGAATTTTTGGGGACCAGAGTTTTCAGTCGCTGCTGCTCTACTTGGATGATGTGATTGTTTTCTCAACAACTATTAAGCAACATATTCAACAACTGGGGCTGGTGCTGGATAGGCTGAGACAACAAAACCTTAAGATAAAACTCAGTAAATGTTACTTTTTCCGGTCAGAAGTACGTTATTTGGGGCATGTGGTCTCTTCCACTGGGGTTAGCACAGATCCAGAGAAGATATCGGCCGTAGCTAAGTAGAATCAGCCACAAAGTCTTCAAGAACTCAGATCTTTCCTTGGCTTTGCTAGCTACTATCGACGGTTTGTAAAGGACTTTTCAAAAATGGCTGGACCCTTGAATGCATTGGTAGCGGAGCTGATTAGGGGGCAAAAGAGTAAACGACCTAAGATTAACCTGGGGTCCAATTGGACTGGTTCTTGTGAACGTGCTTTCCAAGCCCTTAAAATGGCTCTGACTAACGCTCCTGTTCTGGCTTATGCTGATTTTAGTAAGCCCTTTATTCTGGACATTGATGCAAGTCACCAAGGTCTGGGCGCTGTGTTGTCTCAAGAACATGGAGGTAAACATCGACCAGTGGCTTTTGCAAGCCGTGGATTGCGACCACCTGAACGTAACATGCAAAATTACAGCTATATGAAATTGGAGTTTTTGGCCCTGAAATGTGCTGTTACAGAAAAGTTCAGGGAGTACTTGTTGGGCCAGAAGTGCTTTGTGTATACTGATAATAATCCACTTAGCCACTTGCAGACTGCAAAGTTGGGAGCATTGGAACAGCGTTGGGCTAATCAACTGGCAGATTTCGATCTGGAAATAAAATACAAGCCTGGACGTTCAAATGTTAATGCTGATGCTCTTTCTAGAAAAACTCCATCTGTGGTTGAACTTGCTTTAACGACTCCAGTGCCAAAGGAGTTACATCAGTATGGTCCCAACAGTTGTCACACAGTTGCCAGTGAAACCATGTCTGTCTTTCCAGAACAGCCTAGGGAAGATCTTGGTGCGTTACAGGAAGCGGATCCTGCGATTGGGCGTTTTCTTGTTTATTGGAATCGCCAAAAGACCCCTGATGCACAAGAGAGAGCAATGGAGTCATCAGAGGTGCTGGAACTCGTGCGGCAGTGGGGGAAGCTGGTGAAGATGGAGGGAGTGTTGTACCGAAAGTTTCATCCTCAAGAGGAACATTGAGAAATCCGCCAGGTTGTATTACCATCTGTACTCAGGGAAAGAGTCTTGGCCAGTCTACATGATGATCATGGGCATCAAGGCATTGAGCGGACCGCAAGTTTAGTGAGAACTCGTTGTTATTGGCCAGGTATGTTTAAGTTTATTGAGGAATGGTGCAAGAGATGTCAGCGTTGCACTCTGGCTAAAGTGGTACGACCAAGAGTGCGAAGTTTCATGGGGCACCTGATGGCAGAGAGACCATTGGACATCCTGGCTATTGACTTCACATTACTGGAACCTGCATCAAATGGGCTTGAAAATGTACTAGTTATGACTGATGTGTTTTCAAAGTTCTCACAAGCTATCCCAACTAAAGATCAAACTGCAGTAACAGTGGCACGTGTTTTAGTGGAGCGTTGGTTCTACTTGTTTGGAGTACCACGACAAATCCATTCCGATCAAGGAAGGTGCTTTGAAAGCAAGTTGATCTACGAGTTATGCAAACTATATGGCATTTCAAAGACTCGCACCACACCTTAACGACCACAAGGAAATGGGCAATGCGAAAGGTTTAATAGAACCATGCATGATTTGCTTCGTACATTGCCACCAAAGGAAAAGTGTTGCTGGCCAGACCATCTTGCTCAGGTAGTCTTTGCGTACAATACTACAGAGCATCAATCTACTGGGTACTCTCCTCATGTCCTTATGTTTGGGCAGGAGCCACACTTGCCAGTCGATTTTCTGTTGGGATTGGATGATGGTTTCCAGAGTGACGTAGACTGGATAGTGTACCATAAGGACAACTTGGAAAGAATATTCAACAATGCCCGAGCTCGTCTTCAGTGTGCCACAGAACATCGTGCTCGAACAAATGACCAGCTTGTGCGACATGAGAAGCTAAAAGAAGGCCAGCTTGTGTATCGAAGAGCTCACAACATAAAAGGCAGGAACAAGATTCAAGATGCTTGGGATTCAACCCCTTACAAAGTAGTGCGGTACCTTGATGAACTTGGAGCTGTGTATGCTATTGTTCCTGTAGAAGGTGGCAATATTAGAAACCTCCATCGTTCTGAACTGCGTTCAGCCTATACCCCCCCAAATGATTTTGGCCTTTTAGATCAGGCAGACTATCAAAAAACTTCACTGATGAAGAGGGAGATATTGTAATGATGTCCCTGAGGCCTGGGGGTGTGTTATCTCAAGAAAAAGTTAATCCGCAACCTAGAACACAAATAATAGAAGATATTAGTCCATCTTTACCTGTAGTGGTTGATGTGGAGGACCAGTCTGCTCCACGGCCGGAAGGAGCGGTTGTAAGGCGTACGAGAAGAGCAAGAGCTGGACAGCATTCAAACCCATACCATCTTCCTCGGCCTGTACATGTCAGTGAAGCTGAGTTGCATAGCCATGTTGCTCTTCCAGTAACGGGGCTGTCCAGCAATGTCCTAAATGGTTTGTTTCGCCCATGGTTGTAGTGGTTTAAGTTAATCGACGAGACGTCGATTTAAATTTTGGGGGGTAGATTGTAATGAGACCATGTCTGGGCACTACAAGTCCCAGCAGGCTTAGCGCCATGCAAGGAAGTGTTGTTGTTTATGTGCGGACACTTTATTTCCTGATTGCGGCGTAAATTAACAACAGGTTGTAGGTTGCTCAGCGCTATATAAGTGAGTCAAAGTTTGTTTGCCATTTTGCTGTCGTTGTTGCATTCTGGTCGCGGCACGTAAAGGCCGAGTCAACACTTCACGTGAGGGGTAGCTGATGAGCAAACAACATTTAAAGCTGCCAGATCTTCATTGCGAACTTATTTAAAGAGTGCTATTACGGGATCATTGCTTGCTGATTGTTGCCTGAGTGTCAGCATGGGAAATTAAGGATCTTAGAGGGATGCACGGTTGCCGTTTACTTTAGACTTACAATAATATTTTTGTTATTGAATCTTTGTTGTTGACTTTTGTTGTATGCGAATTTGGGTTGTTTATGATGTTGCTAGGTTGACAACAATTTGTATTTTTCCTTTGTTAAACTTTTCTTTCTTTTGTAGGTTCTGTTTTGGATTTGTTTTACCATCAGTGGCCACTGGGTTCCCTGCACTGTGTGGAGAAAAGGTGGTTGGGATTGTGTGGTGATTTGGTCACTGTTGATTTTTGTGTTTTTTAGGTTGCAGTGTGATTGCTGTGAGCTGAGTGTGGTGAAAACACTGCTGCTTGGGTACCTCATCTGTCCTCACTTTCTGGGTAACCGGTGGCCATTAGTGGTTTGTTTTTTTCTTTTCTTTTATTTAGTTTATTTACTTTTTTTCCTCCTTATTTGCAATAAAGATGGAGACAATTTGTATATTACAACTTGTGGAATAAAATATAATTGTCCTCCTAATTGTAAGTCACTTCATTTACCCTCTGCTAAATCATTAACACTGACAAAAGTCATCTGGTCAAAGTAGGTTAAAGCAGTGTAAATAGAAGTTATGTTTTAAGACCCTGCCAGGCTAAACGAAGATTTTCACCAGTGAATTTCTGCTCCACTTTATCCTTACACCTTAGTCTGGCCATTTTATGGCCTGCTTAATCTCTGCATAGACATTTCACCAAATCCTCTTCTTCTTATTCTAAATTTCCTTGAGCTCTTTGAGGTTTGTTGTTGGGAAGATAGTTATTGTTTTCGATAAAACAATATTATCAACACAAATAATAAATAACTGATGAAACTTTGTCTACCTGCCTTGATGTTTTCAGGTGTAGAAAGAAGGCTGTCCCAATTGGTGGATTCAAAGCATCCCTGTAAAGATTGGATACTCTCAAGTGTCCACTGCTCGATTTTTGTGTCTACTAGCATAGAAGCAGTTCTGTATTCATGCATATGATAAACATTGAATGCAACTCGACTGTTTTATTACGGAGAGAACGTACGTTAGCCATAATGATAGATGGGAGCGCACGTTGTTTCCTTGTCTCCCATTTTAATCTGGCTTTAACACCTCCCTTTTCCTTCCCCTTCTGTTTACCTTGGCTCTGATGCAAGTGGTGTTATCTTGGTTAGATAAATCCATGTGAAGTATTTCCTCAGGAAAACTATTCTAAAATACCAAGTCATGTGGTTGAAGCTGAAGCTGAAGCTACATTAGGTGGGTCTCTGGTGTATATGAGCCATGAATTAACTGGCAGATCCCTAGTCACTGCAAACGCAGACTCAAAGAAAAGTATCCACTGCAGGAACATCACCAACCAAATAAAACCACAGATATCTATAGTGCTAGGAAACACCCATACACATTCATACACTACGGACAATGTAGTCTACCCAATTGACCAATAGTGCATGTCTTTGGACTGTTTGGGAAACCAGAGCACCCAGGGAACACAGGGTTTGCCAACTCAAACCAGCGACCTTCTTGTTGTGAGGCGACTGTGCTAACTGCTGAGCCACCATGTCAACCTAAAATAACAATAATAAAAAGTACGGCTCAACAAGCCAACTGGTTGACCACATGAGCAGTGACCCAGAATTTTTTTTTGCCAATTTAAAATAGTTCACTTGGTGATAACTAATTATAAGAGTCAAAGAAAGTCAAATTGATCAGAGAAGTGTTACCCAGGAGAGAGATTGCAAAGGTGAGCTGGAATTTTGACTTAACATTTCTGCTAATTTATTTGTGACCTCAAAATAATGAACTGTTGGCAATAATTTAAATAGTGAAGGTATGAGTCGTTTGTATTTTATTCGCAGCTGGAGCGCATGCCTGCTAGTCCTAGAGTTAAGATTAAGAATTAGATACTTGTTATAAAATCAAAATTTCAAGTCCATATAAGTTGTGTTCATTATTTTTTTTAGGGAAATGAGGAAACTGAGAAAATAAGGAGACTTTGAAAATAAGGAAGCTGAGAAATTAAGGGAACTCAGCCTGCGGCCTCGTGTCAATGCACGCCTCCCACCAGAGCTTATATACAGCAATAGCATACTGCTACTCATGTGATATATACAGCCTGATCTCACGTGGCTAATTATAGAGTTCAGTCATGTTCAGTCAGAGTTCACTGCAATGCACCTAATGCGAAGCAAAAGATCTAAGCAGCACCTGGAAAACACGGTTAGAGGAAGGAGGACACAAACGCAGAATGAGGGCAGGGTGCATTTATTGACAATAGTAAGTGTATAAGGGGTTAAGTGGAGCACAGTTCAATGGTGATGGACAATGTGGTGCAGGAGAGTCCTGGATGTAGCTAACAGAGGAAAGGGGAAGTGCTGGAGCATCCTGGATGGCGCAGTCAAAAACCCCAGAATGCCAGGAGGACAGGTGGTGAAGGTGTAGGGAGAGGCACTGCTGACCAGAAATCCTGGAGAGTTGTCTTACTAATAGCAGCCTGACAGAGTTCACCAGAAGCCAGGGACTTACAGCAGGGAGGGTTGAACAGAGAGACTAGACACATACAGAGACAGACAGGGGAACTAAACAGTAAACTAAAATAATGAAAAGAAAAACTAAAAAGGTAGAAAATAAATGCAAAGAGAAGTTAATTTGGATTTAACTTACTGAAATAAAACAAGAAATTAATACAATAAAAATTAACTAACCACTTGAAGCTACCAATTAAACAAACAAGATATAGAATAACCTAATCAAACTTGATAACGGATACACCAGACAGGGAAGATAATTGAAGCCTAATGAATAAGACAACCAAACAAACGTTAGACAATAAACAGTAACACAGTCAGAAGCATGAGCACAGTCAAGAAACATGTAACGTGCAACAATTAATGGACAAAGGGGAAGAGAGCACAATATAAAGTGAGGAAAGAGCATGAGGACCAGGTATAAAAACTGAGACTAAAGCTGCGGTCACACTGCACTTTGCTCCCCATAAACCTCCATGGACATGAATGCGTCAGACCAGAAATGCAAGCTCGTGCGACAAGTTTTCACAGTTGGCAGCATTGGAAATTTCAAGCTTGTTGAACTCTGGCTTGCGAAATTGCATCACATGATTGTGTGAAACCAATTGGAGATTGGACTGAAATTTAAATCATGGAGCAATCGCTCGCTTTTTTAAATGTCTAATCATCTTGTTTAATCCCACCCCTTTTGCAGCACTGTACAACAGAATGTCGCATGCTCAAACTTTAGTGTGACCGCAGCATAAGGAGAGCTAGATGAGGTGTAGGCATGGCAACTGGAAACGAGGGAGAGCAGAGGAGCACATGGTGAACACAAACAGGTTGAGGCATGTGCTCAGACACAAGATAAACATAGAAAAATTTTATGTTGACAAAATAACTGACAAAAAAGAGCTCTTACAGGTTTGCATGATTGCTTCTCAGCTAGGTTTATATAATAATAATAATAATAATTATTATTATTATTATTTAGTTAGTGTTTTTTAATTTCAATAGTTGTTAGCAGGCCTAGAATAAGAACACATATACCCCTGCAGCTACAACAAAGGGCACCATTTGTTTTTATTGGCCTATCTTATTTATTTCTTTATTATAATTATTATTTTGTTGTTGTTGTTGTTGTTGTTGTTGCTATTATTATTATTATTATAGGCTACATTATCTATTTATTATTTCATTTTCATATAACTTTTAATTTTAAATGATTGGGTAATTATATAAAATACAAGAGCAGTGGCTGTCCAATGAATAGTGCATCATTTCCAGGTAGCTTAATCATTTGAGAGCCGAATCAAAAGAAGTCAAAAGAAGAAGGTCAAAAGTCAAAAGTGCAATTTACAAAAGGATGGGCCGCAATGCCTATTTCTTATGCATTCTCTCTCACTTAACAAGCCAACTTTTCGAGACATTCTAAAATGCTGGATTATTGCAAATAAACAAATTTTCAAATAACTAAACACATCAAAATTATGTCAATTAATTAAACGCATACTTATAATTCATAACAAATTTTGGCTAGTAGTTCTGACTAACAGATGAGCCCACTGTCAGTGTGTTGCATTAATAGTGACATTTGCTCTTCATGTGCAAATTATGTTAGTGTCACAGTGGTATTTCACAAATATAGGCTACTATTCAGTTCCTGCATTGTATTTTCATGGATTTACTGGGCATTTACATATGGGAAGTGCATTTGGTAATGGCGTGCGCACAGAAATCAGCGCACTACCCGATCTATGCTAGATTGAGTTCACTTTAATCTAATGCTGCTTAAATTATATAAAATCATTAAAATGACAGGACTTTAATCAAGATAGGTCTTTAAATAAACTTGACTTGCTAAAACATGTTTTCTAAAGATATGTTTTTTTTTTCTTTCTCAGTTATAGCCAAGTCACACTGCAAAATGTTTGTTGTTATCTGTTGTAGGGCCAAGATGATTTAGTTCCTGATTGGAGCCGAGCCTGCAATAAAGAGGCCTATATTATTAGTTTTATTATAAGGTTACCTATATTATGCTATTAAATTAGTACAATTGTACAATAAAATATTTCTCCTTCCATAGCCGTGAGAAAGTTTTTTTTTGCAGGTGAGAGCTGAGAGAGGGTGTGGGTTGGGGTGTCGAATATTCTCAGGAGCTCTGTAAGTGTGCAATACACCGACATGGTTCTATAAAAAAAGTGTTACAAGGCCTTTTTATAGAAATAAAATCAATTTAGTTTCCACTGGACATGTTACTACAGATATGAGGGAGGTGCCATGCGGAATCAATTACATGTTAATCATTAATTAAATTTGGCCTATTAAACACTCTCTTACCTGAACTTACTGCAAATAAGAAAATGATAGCACATCAGTACTGAGTAAAAATCAGATGCTCAAGTCAAAATCTGTAAAATGATGACAAAAATTAAAAATGTAAATTTATGACAGAGGTTTGTGATACAACAATTAAAGTGGAGCATTAGCCCTATAATTAAATCCTTATTTTACATGGAGTGAAACTAATCCACTCCCACAGTTGTGTAGCAGACTGGCACAAACAAAATATATACACTTCACATAGGTGATTTTTGTTGGAAAGATTATGGAATGAATTTTCTCTCTAATATCTTACAAAATAAACAAAAAGAACGAATAACATCTGAAGTGAAGTACTTCAAAACAAGGTCCGCTATACAGGCCTAGGCTATGTTTCAGTGCCAAAACACAAACTGCATTGTTAAATAAAATAATAATGCAAATAAAAATAAAATGAAATATTCACAGTTTCAGAGTATCTTATTTTAAATAGTTTTTGTTGTTAAAGAAAAAATCATCAATTGCGCTGATCAGTTTCAATTTAATTTGTTTAATAAAGTGAATTGAATTAGCCAAGACAGCCTTACAAATTCTTCACAGCATTGAAAAAATTTCCAGATTACCTTGGAAAAAGATATTGGTCTGAAGGATTGGAGAACACAGAAACTCGTTGTGGATTG